GAACACCCTATTATGAAATCTTCCAAAGCACTCGAGAGAGTGAGTAAATCACCGGGCAGGGTKTCCATGGGCCTGCAGCGCAGCAGAAGCTCTTCTTAAAATAATTTAGAAGGTGGGAGGGCGGGGGCGGGGCTGGGAGAAATTACRGCCATAATCATGTGTTAATAAAATATTTATAAATGTGACTTCCTCCTTCATCATCACAGGCGTTTATATGTACGGGGCAGGTCCAGGCAGAGGGGCCGATGGCCCTGTCCTGCGGGGAGAAAGCAATGAGACAGAGCTCCCTCGCCTCTCTGGGGACAGAACACTAGTCCAGGGGACTCCCTGGGCCTCTGTTTTGCAGGGACTCCCTGGGCCTCTGTTTTGTCCCAGGGAGGCAGAGCGGGCTCAAGTGCAGGTGGGAGAATTGGGAGGCCATCTGGAGGCGGGCCTTTCCCAGGCCTTGGGGAACAAGTTCTAGAAGGGAGCAGTTCTGCTCCATGTGGATGACAAAGACCTGTGTCCCCTAGGAGGTCACCTCCCCCAGGCTCAGCAACACCCATCCTTGTGCCACCTCTACTGAGAAGTCATAGGCATGGGTGGCCTCCCTGTGACCCTGATCCCCGTGGGTTGCCACCCCCTTGGTGTCCCGGGACTCCCAGTGCAGATGCTCCTCTGCTGGCTGCGGGTGCGTGCTCTGCTCACAGAGGGGGCTCCGTGGTGTCCCCCTGAATCACGATCAGCAGGAGGAGGTGGACAAATGTCCAGGCGACCCTGCCCCTTGGACTCAGCCCCATGGCACAGGGGTGAGCGGCTCCCCAGCGCACCCTGACCCGCCCTTCCCTGGCCCCTCCGGGGCCCACCCTCTTCCGGGGCCAGCAGGGATCCTCTTCCAATCAGCCCCACCCTGCTCTGCTGGGCCTCTAGGTCCACTTCCCCTTYATCCTGGTTCCCGCTCCGTGGACCCTGCTCTAACCCAGGGGAAGAGCTGGGTGCACGCAGGGCAGCGAGCCGCTCGGGGCCTCARTGCTCCCATCTGGACAGTGGGMCTGCGTCTTTCCWCGGGTCCCCAAGCCCTGATGTCCCRCCCCAGCGCGGAGCACTCCTGTGCCCGTCCAGAGCCACGCCATCAGGCCCTCAAGGGCCCAGGTCAAGGGCGGTGGGTGGAGCTGTCCGTCAAGGAGCCCGTCCTATCAGGACCCAGGAGATGATCACGTGACACAAACTGAACCCATCACACGCCCGTTCCGGTACCTCGGGAAGGGCCGCAGACTCAGCGCCACAAACCTGTCTGTGCTTCCCCACGTGGAAGTGAAGATCCCCGAAGCGGAGAGCGTTTGAGGGGACCTTCTGGCCTGACGCGTTCACAGGCTCATGATAAGGAGGAGACGGGAAAAGGAAGGGAGGTTCTCAAGTGGCCCCCCTCTGCTCACTGTGCAGCAGCAACAGCTCAGAGGCTAGAGCCTGGGGGTCTAGGGTTCGAATCCCAGCTCTTCCATTCCCTTGCTGTGCAGCCTCAGGCAAATTGTCCAACCTTTCTGTGCTCACTTTTCTTCCCTAAGAAATGAGATAACACCACTACCCGGCTCTCAGCTTGCTGTGAGGATTTCTAGAGTAAACACATACAAGAGGTAGAACGGCACCAGAATAAGACTGCTACTGAAGGAAATGTTATGACTACTACTTAGGTAACACCTGACCCTTCTCTGAGGTCCTTTCTGGATTATAAAATGCTATAACGATGTGAAAAGGAGAATCACTACAGGCAGATAGACCTAGAACGGTCTCCAGATACCACTGGTTCTGGTAGTTCCTGCACCTGAGGGCCAAGGGTCTGCAGTTGGTGCTCGCTTTAGATCCCATCTCTCTGTGGACAAAGGCACAGCCCCACCCTACCCGGCAGGCCGTCCCAGGATCTGCCCCTGCAGTGACTTCCGTGGTGGCCCCCAAAGCCAGGTCCTGAGCCCAAGTGCTTGTGGATCTGACCTGATTGGGAAAGAGGGTCCTACGGATCTCAAGGTGGCACAGTCAGTGGCCCCAAGCCAGTGGCTAGTGTCCTCAGAAGAGACAGAAGAGGACGCCAGCCCAGGGGCAAAGAAAAGGGAAGCCGTGGGAGGGGCCACACACTGCCCAGAGCCTCCAGGAGTGGGGGAGGGGGGCCTCCCCTAGAGAGTCGCTGCCCCRGAACTGTGCAAGAATGGACCCCTGTTGGTTCAAGCCACCGGGGCTGTGCTCATTCATCACTGCGGCCCCTGGAAGCTGCATGCCTGAAATCCACCAGGCAACCCTCACTTGGGGTGCAGGCTGTGGACCCCTGATTAAGAACTTCTGCCAGGCGCGGTGGCCCACGCCTGTCATCCCAGGGACTGGGGAGGCTGAGGCAGGAGGATCATGAGCTCAAAACCAGCCTCAGCAATGGCAAGGCGCTAAGCAACTCAGTGAGAACCTGTCTCTAAATAAAATTTTTAAAAAACAGGGCTAAGGAGGTGGCTCAGTGGCGGAGTGCCCCTGGGTTCAATCCCCAGGAGCCCCTCCAAAAAAGAACTTCTGATGCGGTTACTGTGGTTTCAATAGGTCCACAAATCGTTCCGTGTTGCAATAGCATTGGGAGGTTAATGACTTAAAGGGTTACAGAGGGAGAGGTTTTGCTATAAAGGTGAGCTCTCTCTAGCACATTTCCTCTTCCTCTCTCTCCACAGGTTGCCCTCCACCATGTTATGATGCAGTGAGGAGGCCTTCACCAGTTGCTAGTACCCAGCCTCCAGAACCAGAAGTTAAATAAACTTCTGTTCTTCATAAATCACCTGGTCTTGGGTATTTTGTTATAGCAACAGAAAATAAACTAAGATGGACACAACTCCAGCATTTCACAGAGAAGMAAACTGAAACCAGAGATGCAGCTAGTTTGCCGAAGGTCACCCAGCAAATTGAGGTTTCAGTTGAATCTCTCTTAAAAAAATGATATTTTATAATTGTACCCAATTATGGAGTACAGTTTGATGTTTCTGTACATATATACATTGAATGTTGACTAAATCAAGGTTGTTAGGCAGACGTGACCATCATTAATATAAGAGCTGGATTTCTAACATCTTCTCCTTGATTTGGCTGGATCCCAGGAGAGGGGAGGAACTTCCCAGGGCAAAACCAAGCAGTTAGGAAGGTAGGAGGCACATGGACCTACAGGTGCTGTGCTCCCCGCGGGCTGCTGTGGACTAGTGCTCAGCCGGCTTTTTCTGTAAAGGGCCAACTAATAATTCCATTCTACTTTGTAGAAAATCTGCATCYCTGCTCATCAGCTCTGCCGTCACAGAGAGAGAGCCACCACAGACAGGTGACTGAAGGGATGTATCGGGCTCCGAGAAAACTTTAATTAAGGACTCTGTGACTTGAATACCGTATAATTTTCATATTATGAAATTTAGGACATATTATTGAAATAAGATGACGTATTATTCACACACACACACACACACACACACACATCTATGCACATATTTTTTTGTACAACCGAAATGTACCAACTATTCCTAGTTTGCACCCCAGCAAGTGACAGGCTGATTTGGCCCACGAGCCGCAGCTGGTGACCCCCGGTGTAGAAGGAGGCAGATGCAGAGGCCGGTTCTGACTGTGACCCGAGCTTTGCAGGCAGAGGGACACACCCCAGGTTGGAGATGGGACAAGATTCCTACGCTGTGGTGCACCTGGCCCAGGTTGGCCTCGGTGCCGGGGACATTGAGCTAGAGACGTCACGGCCCTCATCAAACCAGTAGTGCCACCAAACAGTCAGGGCACCGAGAAGCCCAGGGCTGTTTCTGGAGGGCGTCGGATGTCTGCTTCTTTGACATTTGCCTGGCCACGTCCCTGCTCACGTCCTTGTGGAASCCCCGCCCTGCTTGTCCCTGACTCAGCATTAGTTCTAGAAATTTCCAAGATCAGTGGACTAATAGGTGTGGATCTGTGGATGGAAAGAAGGGGACCCRAGGCCCACAGATGTGTGGGCACCTTCTCGAGGAATCCACCGCCCCCCAGGAATAGCCCAGAGGTCAGCCGAGCCCCCGACAGGCCCCTCTTCACGGGGGTGTCCATTCAACAGTCCCACCTCTACGCTGGGGTCCAAAGGAAGCCACTCCCTACTGGAAAGAGTGAGCAGGGACACCRGGAGATCCGAGGCACCCCGGGCTCCGTGAGGAGGGACCGCATGGCTTCTGACCCCCTCTGTCTCCCCAGAACCCTGCACAGCGCCAGCSAAACACAACAAGAGCCTGGATGGCRAGGCGAGCGGCCCACACCACCCAGGGCCGTCTGCTTGGTCTGGCAGGTGAGGGAGCTGCGGGGGCTTCTCAGCCAGCACCTGGGTCGAGGTGCCAGAAAGCAGCCCGGAGCTGGTGACCAAAGAAGCGAGAGAACCAGCGAGAGGCARTCCAGGCCAGACTCCTACAGAAGGCGAACACCTCGTCGAAGGGATCTAGAGGGCACARCACATGGCCAGACAGGAGTGGGAGGGGCAAGAGGGGACGCTGGACCCACTAGAGAGACCCCGGGGGAGGAGCCACATCAGCAGACGATTCAGAGCGGACAGAGATGGCCTGGTGGGTTCAGCAGGGAGAGAGGGGCCTGCACCGCCCAGCCCCGGACTCGGCTGTGTTCCATGGCTGCTGCGCCCCGTCCCTGATGGCTGCAAACAGCTCCGAGGTTTAAATCAACTCCACGGAAGAAATCAGTCATGCAACCCCTGGGTCGCAAGGACTCCATTCCAAGTGCCCTACAGCCACAGAGGCCGATGGCATAGACAGACGTCTCCAGGAGGCAGAAGGCTCTTTGGGACACCCTGTTCCAGAAGGTTCCTTGAAAATCCCAGCCTGTTTCCTTCTTGCTCTGCGGATCCGCAGGCAGCCCCAGACACGTGGAAGGTGACAGATCGACGCTATCCCCACCTCCCCTAGGGAAGGGCCTGGTGGGACACCTGCCCAAGGGGACGGCCAGGTGCCCAGGTGAGCGCCGCAGRAGGGACCTACCTTTGCAGGCCCCGGCCACGCCGAGGTGGTAGATGGCCGCCAGCACCCGCCAAATGGCCCGCTGCTCGCTCTCCGAGATGCCCAGCGTCTCCATGGCACCCCGGAGCTGGGCAAAGGCCAACCCGGCCTTCTGCTTGTCTTCAGGCTGCAGGCAAAGAGAGAGGGGGAGGGGCCGTGAGCGCAAACAGGAAGGGCCAACTCACAGCCCAAGCCAAGGTCAGTCCCGGGACTGTGCGGTCAGTAAGTCATCACGATGAAGCCAAGGAGTGTGACAGCCAACCCGGGCAGCTGGGACAGCCAGARAAGCACGTTCCTCTCTGGCTTTGGGAGGCAGGCCGGCTTCTGTCCGCCTTGTGCTGAGCTCTGTCAGGTCTGGGGCGTGGAGATGGGCAAAGCCCTGGCCTGGCCTTGGAGGCCATCTCAGACAGGCACAGGGAGAGTCACAGGGACAGGCACAGGGACCCACATAAGCAAAGGAAGGAGATGGTTGGAGACCACAGGGACCCAACTGAACGTGGACACAGAGTGGTTATTTTTGGAGGTGGGTCAGAGAGAAGGGGAGAGGACCCAGCCTGGGGAGCCACCAGCAGGCYGCCAGAAGGCCTCGGGCACAACATCAAAGAGCAGGCGCTTTCAGGTCCAGCCACCATGGGCAAGGGCTGGACGAGCCCCCACCCACAGCCCAGGCCCAGGGCAGACATCACTAATCCATCACCGTCCCTGGGGGGCCCCGATCACTTTCTGGACATCACCCCTTCCAACCATCAGCTACCGCAGCCACTGCACCAAAGCCGGAGTGCCACCCCCAGCCCAGCACGGGGGCTGCCAGAGGACGTGTGAGCAGGACACAAGAGACAAGGGCACCGTGAGATGTCGGGGGGTGCAGGGGTTTGGTTCCGTTGTGTTTTGTTTTCTGATTTATGATCCCAATTATGTCTGATTGAATATTAGAATCTGTCTGAAACCCTCGTGCCCGCACCATCTGGCCACGGAGACTCAGCCCAGGAGCCTGCTGGGTGGGGAACAGACGCCGCCCGCCGGGAAGAGGAACCTTTTGTCAAGAAGCCACCAGCAGATAACGAGGAACTGATGGGCACCGGGTCCCCTCAGAGACCACGGTGATGGAGGGTTGGCCGCTCAAGCTGACAGGTCTTTGAATCTCGTAGTGTCCCCCTGCCCAGAGAGGGGACGACACTTGCCCCATCTTCCACAGAAAATTAACATCAGATCTGAGACAAGAGGCCGGCTTTCCTGACTCCAACCCAAGCCACTAGTCCCTTCCAYTGAAGCCACTTGGTCTAACTGGGAACCTGCAAAGGATCACCGGGCAAGGGGGACGACGTCAAAGCGTGCGGTGACATTGAGAGATTCGCTGTGGCAACGTTTCAATGAATAGCAGAGGCATGTTCCGCCAATCTGTCATATGTCTGGGCCGCCACAGGACCACAGAAGCCCTAGCAACCAGGAGCGCAGCCTAGCAACCGCAGCTGCTCCGCGGGAGCGTGGGGAGGGAAGGAAGGACTCACCCGGCTCCCGGTTATTTATGAGATTTCAAAGTAGCCGAGAAAGGACATCGGGAGGACAGCGACAACACATTCATTATGCTCCCACGGCCAGCCCTGAGCTTTTGACTTTAAATTACACAGGGACTCCATCATCCTCCGCGGAGCTCGGGGGAAGAGAACAGGAGGGAAACTTCCACTGAACCCCGTTGGCTTCGCTCTCTCCCACCCCCAGGTCCCTTTGAAACAGAAAACCGAGCTCAACAAACATCTGTTTCTGATCCCAAATGATTAGGACCAGGAGGATGGCTAGAGTTTCTTAGCTCTTTASACATTTCTACTTAATGCCCTGACCAAAGCCCCTCCTTGGATCAAAATCACGAAAATAGATACTAGTCAAGAGAGGGTAAAGAGTTGACTCACATGTTTATCAGGAGGAGAAGAGATAAGCCAAGGCAGTACCCTAGGCACAGACAACAGCCACAGAGAACTACGCAGCAATGAAAAAGAAGAAGCCACACAGGCAAACAGAGACCCAGTGTGAACCCCACAGACCCAGTGTTGTGCCAAAGAAGTCAGACCCAGAAGGTCACTGTCTTTGTCTCTTTTTTTCACCTATAAGGAAATAGGTGAGACTGGGGACTCTCAGCTCTGGAAATCCAAGAGCATGGTGCTGCATCTGGTGAGGGCYTTCTTGCTACATCACAACATGGTGGAGGGAGTTCCATGGCGGGATAAAACAAGTGTGCTAGCTCAGGTCTCTTGGTCTCTTCTTAAAATGCCACTAATGTCATCACGGGGGCCCCTGCTGTCATGGCCTCATCCAATTCTAATTACCTCCTAAATTACCTAATTACCTCAACTACCATCCATCATAGGAATTTGGGGGTTAAGTGTCCAACACACAGGCCTTGGGGTGACACATTCAAACCAAAGCAACCACATCCTGCATGCTTCTATTTATGTGAAGTTCAAGAATGGGCAGACTGTCAGGTACATTCCTGTCATCCCAGCGGCTYGGGAGGCTGAGGCAGGAGGATCACAATTCAAGGCCAGCCTCTGCAATGGTGAAGCCCTAAGCAACTCAGTGAGACTCTGTCTCTAAATAAAATCCAAAATAGGGCTGGGGTGAGGCTCAGTGGTTGAGTAACCTTCCCCACAAAAAAAGAATGGGCAAACTGAGGTAAGATAGAAGACAGGTGTGGGGTGGGGGTGCCTGGGAGGGGGCTCTAAGGAGCCTTCGGATGAGTGAGGGGTGTTCAAAGTCCTGTTTGGCAGGGTGGTTGTGGTGTGTTTAAAGATATAAACATCATTGAGCCGTTTACTTAATATTAGCATAGTTTATGTGTTTAATTCAACTTTTTAAAAGTCAGTGCAAGGAAAAAAGTCAAGTCACAAGAAACTCAGGGTTTGTCTGATGCGATTGAAGCCCTCAAGAATGCAAGTAATTTAGGGGGGAGATAAAATCCAAATGCCCTCTGTTTAGATTGAGCAGGTCTGCAGACCCAGGGGCTCCTGCAAGGCAGGCACGGGRCTGGGTCACACACAGAACGGACACACTCTCCATTCTGCCCTCCCAAAGGGTAGCTGTGCCCAGGTCTCTCATCCTTGCTTGGAGACTCGGTTTCTGCTTCTTTAAAATGGACATGACATTCAACCTTCCTCTTAGGGCTGCGACCAGGACCAAATGGGTCAGAAAGCACCCAGCACAGGGGGTGGCATCCAGTGGTGCTCAATAAATGGTGGTCTATACCCAGTTCTGTTTCCCTGCCTCCACGCATCTGTGTGACGCCTTTCCCCACKGCCACCCAAGTTCACACCAGCACCACCCTGCCCTCGAGGGACTCCCCGTCCACGGAGGGACACAGATGTGCCAGCAGATGGGACACAGTGTGTGCCCAGGACTGGAAGACGGCATGGGGTGAAGGCAGGCTTCCGGRAAGGAGTGGTACCTGAAGCCAGTCACGAAGGGAAAAGGGCATGAGGGAGGAGGGTGGGTGCTGGAAGCAGGAGGGTGTCCCAGGAGGGTGTCCCTCGCAAGGTCAGGGGGCTGCAGAGAAAGGTGGGCTTGGGCGCTGAGAACTCTGGGCCCACCTTGGGTGGTACAGGCTGCTCTGGCAGGGCCACGGGTAGTGGGCRCCACTGTTTGCAGCAGGGAGATGCTCTCTGATGAAGTCCCTGGCTGAGGTGACCAGGACCTGGTCATAAGCAAGGCGGGATCCTCGGGCACACCTGAGTCTGAGCGATTCATGGATATGCCTGTCCTCCAGGCCAGGTGGACTCCCCTATACCTCTACACCTTACCAGCCAGGGTACCCCGGCCCTCCGCCTCCTGGTCCCGCCCCTCTCCACCTAGCCCCACCCTCTGACGCCACGCTCTGCCTGCTGGCCCAGCCCCTCTGGCTCCTGGCCCCACCCCCTACCTCCTGGCCCCACCTCTGCCTGCTGGCCCAGCCCCTCTGGTTCCTGGCCCCACCCCTTACCTCCTGGCCCCACCCTCTGACACCACGCCTCTGCCTGCTGGCCCAGCCCCTTTGTCTCCTAACCACATCCCTATCTCCTGGCCCCACCCCCTGACTCCTGGCCCCACCCCTCTGTCTCCTAGTCCCGCCCCTCTCTCACCTAGCCCCATCCCCTGACTCTATGCTTTTGCCTGCTTGCCCAGCCCCTGTCTCCTAACCCCATCCCTATCTCCTGGCCCCACCCCTCTGCCTGGTTCGACCCCTGTGCTTTCTGGATCCACCCCTTTGACTCCTAGCCCTTCTGCCCGGACTCCTGGCCCCATCCCAGACCTCCTAGCCCCACCCTGCTGCCTCCTGGCTCCACCCTTGTGCCTCTTAGACCCACCCATCTGCCACCTGGCCCCACCCCCTCTTTCTCCTTGCCACACCCCTCTGCATTCTGGGTCCACCCCTCTGATTCCTAGCCTTGCTGCTCTGACTCCTGGCTCCACCCCTACCTCCTGGCCCCACCCCTCTGCCTCCCTGCCCACTCTTCTACCTCCCAGCCCCCCCCCCCGCCGCCAGCCCCCACCCCCCGCCTCCTAGCCCCACCCTTCTGCCGCCTGGCCCCACCCCTCTGTCTCCTGGGCTTGGGAGCCAGCTCTGAGAGGAAATGCCGACCACTGACTCAACTCATTTGAAGAGAAGCATCACCTGGGGCCTGCACAGATTCGTGAGCCTCAGGGAGCCCTGGAGGATGGTAGGGCAGGTACCGATCCAGAGACAGRAGCACGGAGCAGGGACCCTCTCTCAACGTCCCATCAACCCACTCCTTCTGTCCACACGGGAGTTCAGTGAGTGGATATGAGAGAGGGTGTTCGTTGAGCACCTACTGTGTTCCACTAGGGAGGCAGGCGTGGGTCTCTCCCACGGACACAGGAGGAAACAGAGGCCCAGAGGTGAAAGCACCTTCCAAGGCGGCCCAGAGGGCAGAGGGCGGAGTCAATATAAGTCAGACACCGGGAGCTCCCGATTCTTGGAGCCGCCCCAGGGTTCAATGTCGTCCACTCTTAAAGGTGGAAACACGGAGGCTGGGAAAGATGAAGTGACCCGAGGACACACGGTAGGTCGGACCCCAGAGAGCATGGCCTTCAGTCAGGACTGGGGCTGGGATGACAGAATGGGAAGAGCAAGAGGGCCAGGATGGGGGTCAGGCCCCCGAGTCCCAGTCCTGCCTCTGCCACGGAAAGCTGTGTGCCCTTGGCAGGTCAGTGCGCCTCTCTGAGCCCGGCTGCTCCTCCTGAAAGAGGGATCTGACCTGATCTGGATCATCCCTTGCCTCAGAGAGCCCTGGGGAGGATCAGGCTAGAGAAGGCCCCAGCAGAGCCTCTGGCACGAGCAACGGACGCCCTGTCCTAGGGTCAGGAAAGCTGCCCTCCACAGCTGACGGCTGAAGAAAACAGGAAGAAAGCTGTGTGCTCGCAGACCGCCTGCGCCTAGCGCACCGCAAAGGGGGTTCATTTAAAAGTTGAAATGTGGCCCCCAGCGCCAGCGCAGGCCGAGGACCAGGGGACAGAGCTGGCCGTCAGTGAGCAGAGGGGGCCCCCAAGAGCCGGCCCGCACCATACTGGGGGGCTCAGCACCTCAACTCCTCGCCCCACCTGTGCTCCCAGCCACGACCACAGCTCCCAGGCCCCAGGTCGTGGGTCCCCAGGAGGTCCCTGGATACAGGAAGAAGACAGGTGGAATTCAAGTTCCCTGCCAAGCACCGCGGCAGAGGAGTGGAAAATTGCCCGTTCCTTTATTCACTCAACAAACATTTACTTTGCCCTCGCTGTCTACCTGGTTGAGGGTGAGGCCTGGGGCACTGGGCAGTGATGGGATGCTCAAGACACCCGCTGTCTGGGCACTTAGGGCCAGGGGATCCAGCCAACAGTGTGACCCAGTGTCACCAGGGAGATGACAGGCGGACAGTGACACGGGGCATCTCCTTAGAGGACCAGAGCCAGAGCCAGGGCACYGTGGCCTCCAGACAGGGGATACTGCCCTACTGGGCCCCTGGGGCCTCGTCACTGCCAACAGACAAAAGGTTTCAGTGGCTGCACRTGGACACAGGAAGGGAAAGCCCAGGAGTCGGCTCCACCATGAGGCCTGGCCACCAAAACACTGTTTGTGAAAGCTCCGGTGACATATGGCATGTCGCGAACTACGCCAGATATTCACAAGAAAAACACTAGAAGACAGTCWAGAAACACCACCGCTAGGTTTTCCCGGGTGACGCCTAAGTTTCTGGATTTCCCTCTGGTTTGCGTGAGAGTGTCTTTGGGGACCCTTGGCCCTGATGGTCCTACAGGGTGTGTGTCATCAACTAACTCTTGGAAGCAGATATTTCATTAAAATACAAAGTGGGGGGAACAGAGATAGAGCCAGTAAGAGAGAAAACATGGCCCACGCCACCAACCGACATGCTGGGAACGGTGTGCCCAGGAGGAGGGAATGGTCCCCGGAGGCCCTGCCCTGCCACGGCTCCAGTGCCACCCATGAGGGTCTGAATGACCTTTTTTTTTTTTTAATTGGTTCCAGGGACTGAACCCAGGGGCTCTTAACCACCGAGCCACACCCCAGCCCTGTTTATTTTTTATTTTGAAACAGGGTCTTACTAAGTTGCTTAAGTCCTTGCTAAGCGGCTAAGGCTGGCCTCTAACTTTTGATCCTCCTGCCTCAGCCTCCCTAATCTCTGGGATTACAGGCACACGCCACCATACCCAAAATACTGAATAATCTTAAGGGTGCCCTTGGTTCAGGGCCAGGCACCGTCCCAGGGCTGTGGGCTGTATCTCCTTTAACCTGGGTTCAAGGGGGGCTGTTACAAGCCCCACCTTACGAATGAGGAAGTTGAGGCCTAGGGAGGTAAGTCTCCTGGTGAAGGCCACCCTGATCAAGTGCTGGTCCCAGATGTGAGCCCGGCTGTCCCTACGCTCCACGGTGGTCTGTGAATTCTCAGGGGAAGATGGAATCCCGGCTACAGTTGAAACACAAGAGAATYCATCCCAGTTGGCGGGGAAGGGAGTGGTCAGAAGGACAAAGGAAGACAATGAATGCAAGGTGTTGGCTAAACTTCAAGGGGTGTTTTCTTAGCATGAAGAAGGTCTCCCTACAATATCTGCTAACCCAATCACCTTGGGGACTCAGGCCTAGTAAGTCCTCTTCTTGGGGGGCATTTGCTGACCCTCAGAYTCCCTTAAAGACACAGTCCCTGAACGGCCGACTCCGGTAACCAGCTGAAGCTTGTCTGAAAGCCCCGCGGAGCTTCAGAGTTGGTTCTTGTTCCAGAGAACACAGGGAGCCTTCTCTCCATACCTGCTGGGCAGCCGGAGAGGACAGGGAAACGCCCAGCACTTCCCACAATTCAACTGGTCTAAAAAACACCCCATAGAACACACAGGAGGGGGAAGAGAACAGGAAAGTACTTCCAACACGCCTGGACTCCCTCCCGCCGGGACGGGTCCTTTCAGCAGCCTCTGAACAGACACGTCGGATAGGAGGGCTCCCGGGGCCTGGCCTGGACCCTTTTTCTCCCCAGAAACCATAGGAAAACCACCAGCCTGTGTGGATGGAGCGAGAGGCTGGGCCAGAACTCGTGAGCTAGATGCGAAGCCCCTGCAACAGCTGAGCTTCTCCAGTTCTGCCTTCAGGGTCAGAGTCTGGGTTCCTGGTGGCCCTCAGTCACGCGGGCAGAGGACAGGAGAGGATGAGCCCTGGGCTTCAGAGCTAGAGCCGTGGCCTCAGCCACTGCGGGAGACTCTCCCTGTGGTTCTCAAAGTGTGATCCCCGGACCAGCAGCCTTTGGGCCCTGGTGAGGTGAGTGGAGGTTCCCAGTCCTGCCCGGAGCTGAACTGGATGCCTGAGGACCAACCCATCAATGTCCGTGTGTGTGTGTGTGTGTGTGTGTGTGTGTGTGTGCGCCTGCCGCAGCTTTATTAAGGGGAATTTGATACAAGATAAAAGTTCATCTTTAAAACGTTCAGTCTGCTAAACGTGGACACTACAGTCCCCGCCTTTTTTGCGTGGAGAACACAATCTGCCGTCCCCGACATGGGGACCACCGCAGATGGTCCCCTTCCCTACATTCCRTGTCTTTGTCTCCCTACACATACACACCAGCGGTAAAGTTCAATTTGTACATTAGGCGCAAGAAGCAGAAGTTCTTACTTTTGATGGAGTTGATTGCTCTCTTAGGAACGGCGACTTTGGCATTACATGAATTTGGTCTTTGTTCAACCTAAGGTTATGGACATTTTTCTCCTGTTTTCTTCTAGAAATCTTATGGTTTTAAGTTTTAAATTTAGGTTCATGGACCATTTTTGGTCAATTTATACATAGAGTTTGAAACRAATTTTTTTTTCTTTTTTGCAATGGGGATATCCAATTATGCCAGGACAGCTTATTTGCAGACATGTCCAATTGGAAGGGACTTTGGAGAAGAAACCATCTATTCCCCTTCACCTGGTGAACTCCTACTCATCCTTAAAAACACAGCTCAAATGTCCCCTTGGTTAAGAAGTCTTTTCTGAGTGAGGCTGAGTAGCTCCTTCGACCCTCCTCCCGTGTCAGCAGCATCTCATGCTCCCTCTCCCATACCCTTATCTCAGGTGATCTCACCTGATTGCCCTAATTTCCACACCTGTCTCTCCTGCTACAGTGAAAATTCATTTAGCATCTTCTCGGCACTTCTAMCGAGTGGGGGAGGTGTGTAGAGGGAGGCGGGACTGAGAATATAGTTGTCAAGATGCAAACCAAGGAGTAAAATGGACAACAAGGGGGACATTGGATTTTCTTAGGCAATCAAGTAACCCTCCCTCAAGGCCCCCTGGAAACGCCTGGGGGGTGCCTACCCTCCTTGGGCACCATCAGTACTGGCAGAGTCCCCCAAGGACTGGGGCAGGTCATGCCCGGGGCTAAGCGCTCCTGTGGGTTCTTTCCCTTCCTCCTCGCAGCAACCCATCAGGCAGACTAGTCCCATCATTAATTTACAGAAGAAGATACAGACGTTCAGAGAGGTTGCATTCCACGCCCGATGCCACATATCTGGTGTTGGAACCAGAGGTAAGTGCAGCCCACACGGTCCCGGGCCCTCTGCTCTCACCCTGCATACACTACCTCCTCCGCATGTCCAAGTCCCCAGTCAGCCCAGACTCCTGGAAGGCCTCCCCCACACGACAGCCGGATGGAGACCGCAGTGCCAAAGGAGACATGTGGCTCAGGGACCACTCCACACCCCCTTCCAGGCCACGGACTCACCCTCCCCCCAAAAAACAACCCCTTACCTTGGACCACACGCCCATGCCAAAGGTGCTGCTTTCTGCCGTCTGGTGCAGGTTCAGCTCCGTCCTGGAAGAACAGAGGGCAGATTTGGGGGGCGTGGCCATATGTGGAGGGCGTGGCCGTGCGGGGCGTGGCCGTGAGGGGCGTGGTCGTGTGGGGGCGTGGCCCGATGTGGAGGGCAAGGTCCCKCAGGTAGGGCCCAGGGGCTCCTGCAGGCCTTGGTCCCACCAGGTTGCCCAGGGCATCCCCTGGCCCCGAGGATTCCTCACTGCCTGCCCTTCCTTGGCCCTCCTAAGAGCCAGGGAACCAGGCAGAGAGGGCCATGGAGCGGTTCTGGGGGTCAGCAGGGCGGCCTCCCCCACACAGGACGGTGCCAGCCCTCAGGCATAGCCGGCTCAGACTGGTTCACGGCCCCCTCCCTGTGCTCCTGCCTCCCACCGACAGACAGGCCTTTCTCTTCCAGCCTCACTTTTCCTCATCTGTGTGATGGGCGCRGTGCCCTTGACTCCGGATTAAAGGACACATCTCCAGGGCCCTGCTCCGTGGATCCTCACACCCTCCCCCAATCCATGGAAACTCAGTTTGACCGATCATTAAGGATCCACCTCAAGGGTTTCAGCTCCTCTGCTGGGCACGGGGAGGCAGAAGGAGTAAGCAGCCCCCGACCCCAACACCCCAGTCGGTTCTGTGAGAAGGGGAGCCCTGTACCCCTCAGCACCGCAGGTGAGGAGCCAGAGCACATGGCGGACCCAGAAAGGAATGGAGTGAGAGTGAGGAGCGGGACCAGGCAGCGCCCTCCTAAAGGAGACGGGGAGAAGGGTTTTGAAGGATGGAGGAGTCTCCCACAGGTGAGGTCTGTGGAAGGGGGAGCTGCGCTGCGTCCTTTGGAAGTTCCAGGGGCTCAGGGGAGACCCAGTGCAGGGCCCCAGGGAAGAGGGGAGCCGTGCATGTATTTCAGGGCTACAAGAGATGAGGAAATGGAGACACAGACGGTACAGCCTCTCCCGAGGCCGCGGGCTGGAATGGGGGACTGGAAACTCCCTGTCGGAATCACCTCTTCACCCTGCCCTGGTACGTCCTTCCTAGGCACCACACACCGCTGCCCGCCCACAGGATATGGTTTAATTACCCACACCCTAGTAAGTGCCCATTCTACAGAAGAAGAAACCGAGGTTCARGAAGGCCCACCTGGGGCCAAGCCAGGAGCAGACACCCATCCTCTGACTCCAAAGCCAGCCCTTTCCAGCACATACCCGGTCAGGGCGGGAAGGGTTGCAGGCCAGTAAAAATCCTCCCCAAATCCCAGCAAGCACAAAGCTCTCACTGTGTTCACTCTTTGGCCCTCACAATAGCATCCTGAGGTCGCCATCGTCACACTCATTTTACAGATGAGGAAAGTAGGGTTCAGAGAGGTGCATCACTAGTCAAAGGTCACACAGCCAGCAAGTGGGGGAGCCAAGATACAAATCCACGAAGCCTGGCCCAGAGYCTCTGGTCTTAGCCACGATGCTGTGTTGCCCTCTGCCTAGTTCTTCTGTGGGTCCTTTAGGCTTTCCAGAAGTTTCCTTACTGCTCAGGTACCCTGTTCTGGAATCCCCGAGTTCTTTCTCTCATCTGCCCACTCTCTGCAGGGCACGGTTTCCCCTCCGGCCTCAGCTAGAGGCTCAGGACAGACTGAGCTTGTCCTTCCAAGGGAGGACGGAGAGGGGCACAGGGCCCTTCTGCTAATGTACCTGGGGAAAGACCCGGGGGTCCACTAGAACTTCCTGATCTGTCTGCCAGATGAGAAACTGCGGCCCAGAGAGAGAGAGAGAGAGAGAGAGAGAGAGAGCGAGCCTGAGGAAGCCCTAGAGAGCCAGGAGGGAGAGGGGACCCCGGGCCCCCTCCTGCAGGAAGCCCTCCAGAGGAGGCCAGGCCGACTCCTGCTCCCTGCCCTGCCAGCTCGCCCTCTGTCCCAAGGCGCCCCACCTGGGCACCTGGCCATGTGCACTCAAGGCAGCCACAAAGGTCATGACTTCTGGAAGACATGGGGTCTCTTCCCCCACGCTCAGGCCCTGGACCCACTTGTCACCGTCCCAGCGGACAGCCCTGCCCCTCCAGCTCCRAATGGGAATCAAGTGAGGTCTCTTCAAGACATCGTCTCCACCTTACAGAGGAAGAAACTGAGGTTCCGAGTGGATGGGCTCTGAGCAAGGTCCCCAGCCCACCAGCACCGCGTCCCTCGGGGACTGAAGTCAGGGGCCCTTCTTCACAACTGGGTCCGTGGCCTCTCAGCTCCAGGCAGAAGCTGGACCGGGCTCTGGGGACAGCGGTCCCTTGTCCCACCCACCCATCCCGGCACTCACCTGAGATCCAGGTCCAGCCCAGCCAGCATCTGGGAGAAGACCTTGAAGTTGCCCTCCCCGTCCGGCTGCCGAGCTACGCGGCTCTTCTCCAAAAGCATCGTCTGTGGGGCAAAGGTGGGCCCTGTCACTGTGGGGCCGTCTGCCCACTGCCACCCACCCACCCCTGAGGCCACATCTCCTGGTCCAAGTGTCTCGGGTTCAGAGTCCTCCGGGAAGGGCACCCCGCACACAGCGGCTACAGTGAGCCTCAGGGAAGTCCCCAGCAGGGCCACCTCAGACACCGTCCCAGGGACAGGAGCCTCTACAGCCCCAAGGCCATGGTGCTCATATGGGGGCCAGGCGGGGACAGCGACGTCCCTTCTAGCAGGCACCCAGGGGACTCCCTGCCCCCCACCAGGGCTGTGATCCCATTTTCTATGCAAACAGCATGTCTGAGGGGGGCGGGGAGGGGGGYGGGTGATTTTGGAGATGGGGACAGACAGGCCATGTGTGGTCACCCATGGGTGGCCCAGTGCGGCTGCGCGGCTGTTTAGCTTCAGCTTCTGGTTTTAAGCCCCAGCTAAAAAGCGCCTGGCCACCCACTTGGTCCTGGAGATTTCCCCCTGTGATGGTCCCCAGAGCAGATGGCCAGGCGCTGGAGGGAACACTTGGGGCACCCAGCAAGAGGGGCGCCGTTGAACGTGGCCACTGAGGTCCCAGCTGGAGGGTAGAGTCATTAGAGGGCAGCTGGAGACACAGCAGCCTGGGTGCACCCCGAGGCTCACCTGGAGCTGAGCGGCTGTGATGCGGCCCATGGCGTTGAAGTCCAGTGACATCACCATGCTAAATCGGGTGGCGCTGCGGCTGTGGCTGGTGGACACAGAGCCAAAGGCCCTGAGGACCATAAAGGCGGCTCGGATCTTCTCCACTGTGGGGTGCAGGGCAGGCTGTCAATCACGCCTCCCCCAGGACCGCCCTCCCCTTGCCGGCCCCTCCCCGCGGCTCCCCGCCTCCCCCGTTCAGCTCTAGACCACGCCCTCCCGCTCTAGACCACGCCCTCCCGCTGAGCGCCGCCAGCAAGGCCCCGAGCAGGAGCAGGGCACAGGCAAGGCCCAGTCCACCAGGGGGAGCCAACTGCCAGGACAACTCCCCAATGGCGGCTGGCCCAGGGCCTCCTGGAACTAGGACCAGGGCAAAACATTCCCCCACCTGAATGCAGAACCGAAGGCCCAGCAGCAGGCCTGAAAGTCCTGCCATCTCTCCACAACTGTCCGCTGAGTACCCRAGATGCATCCCTCACTCCTCTAGGCACCTAGATACAGCCCATCCTGACTCCCACCTTCAAACACACACACACTCCCAGCAGAGCTACACCATGGGAGGACAGGGACTGTGCCTCTGCCACATCCCCTGCTCCTAACAGGGGCCTGGTGCAGAGWAGAGACCCAGGGCAGCACTGGAACATCCCTGGGGAGGGAGCAGGGCACAGTGGCCAAGACAGCTCAGCTGTGGGCTCTGCCGTGGCTGGCCACCTGACTGAGGGAAGTAAGGAGCCCTCTGTCCCGAGCCTCGGGTGGCAACCTGAGGGCAGTGACATACCCACCTCACGCGGTTGTCATGAGGACAGGATGATTTAATAATGCAAAGCACTTAAAAGTTCCTGAAGGGGTGATGTTGTTATTATATTATAGAAAAGCAGTTTATTGTTAGTGTCACACATAATATAACATTCTTAGTTGATATTACACTATAGAAAAGCAGGGTCGCGTGGGCTCAGTGAGGAGGACAGAAACCACCCTCAATGGGGGCGGAAACTGGTTCCTGAAAGTGGCAAAAAAAAAAAAAATCTCTTTTTTTGGTGCTGGGGATTGAACCCAGGGGCCCTCGACCCCTGAGCCCCACCCCCAGCCGTGTTTTGCATTTTATTTAGAGACAGGGTCTCACTGAGCTGCTTAGGGCCTCGCTGTGGCTGAGGCTGGCTTTGAACTCGTGATCCTCCTGCCTCAGCCTCCCCAGCTGCTGGGATGACAGGCGTGGACCACCGTGCCCGGCTCCCAGAAAAAAAAAAAAAATTGYTCTTTTTATCACAGAGCACAGATAGACGCTCCCACACGTGGGTACACGGTTCCCCTGTGGTACTAAATGTCCACTGTAGGGTAGACGACAGAGGGGAAGTGTCTTAAGCTCCTGGGGACAACAAGGAAAGCCTGAGACCCTGGCCGGGAGGTTGGGGTCAGGAGCCAGGCTGCCTGGTTTTGCATTCGGCTCCAGGACAGATGGGCTGTGTGGCTTTGGGCAAAATACTTGACTTCTCTGACTCTCAAGGCCTTCACCTATAAAATTCAAACAGTCACATCTACCATATGGCCCACCACAGGCCTGTTGTGAATTATACGTAAGTTCGTATTCATGGAATAAGGCTGGCACACACRTCCCTGGCACACATGCACTCTGATCGTCATTAAATTGTAATCATCATTATTACTCATTGGCACTCTTTCTTTAAGGCTCAGCTCAAATCTCACTGCCTCCAGGACCTTCCTGGTGCCCCTCCTGTGTGCTCCAGGGGCCTGACCAGCTCTGCCAGCCCTTTTGCTGGACATTTGCCTGTGTCCATAGGCACAGGTGCATTTCCCCTCAGGTCTCAGCTCTGCCTTCCTGTCTCCACTCGGGGGGCACTCTGTGAGGTTCAGCAGGTTGTACACTGCACAACAGCACGGCCTCTGAGGCCCACACCGTTCACATTATGTCATCACAGATTCTTAGACCTATTAGGATGGCTTCCCAGCAGAAGGCAGTCCAGTGTCTGGTTCTAACAATGCCCACTGTTGAAGGCCGTTCTGCAAATGGCCATTGATATCTTGAGGAACAAATATCTTTATCTAAGCCACACAATGGTGTCCAACAGTCCGGAGGGGGCCCTCAGGAGCAAGCACATCTAGTCGGATGGCTATGAGGAGGGGAGCCCCGCACACTCCTGCTCTGACCCTCCCCTTCCTGTCTCCACCTCCGCCATGTCGCCTGGAGCCCGCCGTACMTGACACCCTGCCGTCCACACTGCCTGCCATGGCCACCAGGTGCTCCAGGACCTGCTCGCAGCAGGTGGTCTTCCCCGCGCCACTCCGGCCCAGGGCCACGATGCTGTGGTCCCTCCGCTGGCTCAGCAGCTCCCAGTAGGCCCGCTGGGCCAGGGAGCAGACATGGGCAGGCAAGCCGTCCCGGCGGCCCCTGGGCACCTGCAGAGATGACAGGTGTCAGCCTTTCCCTCGGCCCCTGCCCGGGGCACTGTGGGACAGCACCCACCCCGGCGAGGGTCCCTCCGTGTCCCTGGCAGGAGCCCCGAGGAGCCCGCGGCCTGGGTTTCCTCCCAGCTCAACCTGAGAGTCGAGCAGCACCTCTGGGCCCTGCCCAGCCCTTCTCATCTGAAAAGTGGGCTCATAATGGGGRCGGTCCTCGGCGCCACTTCCTGTCCCTCTCCAACCTTGACAAGGGGTCCTGGCACCTGGCTGAGAAGGGCCCAGCCTGTGAGTCCAGTCCTTCCAGTGGCTCTCTGTGAGACCCTGGGCCACCCAGACCCACAAGGGTCTGCGTCTGCCCTTCAGCTATCAGAGGTTTCGCCCGGAGTCGCCTGAGCCCCGGGCATTGTCACCCTCGTGGCTAGGAGCACACCTAGGAGGTGCCTGCCATGAGATCCCCAAAGTAAATGGTCCAATCGATTAGTAATGTCTGCCATGGATCAAATAGCATGATCGATTAGTGATGTCTGCCATGGCAAGGGGACTGTCAGGTGGGGAAGGATGCTGGTGCTGTCCCCCACSGCAGACCTAGGAGAAACCCCAAACCCCATCCCTCCACCATCCATCCCTTCTGCCCTCGGGAAGGAGACCCACAGGGCGCCTGTGTGTGGGAGGCCCTGTCCTGGGCGCCGGGGACACAGCACCACATTAAACCCTGACGCCCGCGGGAGGAGACTTTGCACGATTTATTAGAAGGGCTAAAAGATTTTTTTTTTTTTTTAATAGTCACTGTCAAGTGCCAGTGCATCTGCAGAGCAAGGAGTCTCAGGCTGCACGGGAGGGGCGGGGACAGGACAGGACAGCGTCACCCTGGAGCAGTGTGGCGGTTTCCTCCTCGGTGACACACACGCTGCCCACCCAGCCCCACGACACCCGTCCAGATGTTATTCCAGCAAAATGAAAATGTGTGTCCACAGAAGTCACATCGCTGGTCACAGTGACCACCTGGACAAAGCCACAAGACCTGGGAACAGCCCAGATGTCCTTCAACCAGTGAGCCAAGGCGAGCAGCCACCGAGCTGTGCCCTGCAGGTCCCCGGTGAGGGCACCGGGCCAGCTGGTCACGCCACAAACAGACAAGGAGACCCGCAGAGAGCACAAGGACTCGATGGCAGGTGCRTGGACGAGCCCCGGGATGGGACCTGCCGACGTCAGAGCTGTCCTAGGACGTGATGGGCTAGCCCGGCGGGGACTTTTTGGAAAACATGAAAGTCTTGGAGGAAAATRAAATCCGCAGCTGCCGGGGTGGGGCTCGGGGTGGGCTGCACCCCAGAGGGGCCCCCAGGTCTTTTGGAGTGACAAGGACTGTCCTGGAGCTGGCTGCAGAGGCCTCTGAGGCTGTGTCCGAAGCCCCCTGACCGCAGGCCGAGGCGGGGGACCCCCTGAGAGCTACGTGAACCTGACCTTGGTGACCAGCCCTCCCGCCCCACGGAGGAAGAGACAGAGCCATCCCACGGCACAGCCTGCGCAGGGTCACCAAGGACGCAGGGGAGGTGGGGACGCGGAGCCCTGGCCCTGGAGGCCAGGGGACATGGAGGACAATGGAGGACAATGTCCAAGGCCCCAGACACCAAGTCGTGACCACAGCAAGCCCCCGCCCCATGCCTTGGTGGGACCAGGGGACAAAGCCCAGGAGGGACACCACCCACCCTGCTGGACACAGCCTGGGGCACAGGCAGGCCGAAGGGCACAAGGTCAGCCCTCGGGCCAGCCTCGCTCTGGAGTTCCAGGGACAAGCCAGCCCACTCGTGGGATGCTGGGACTCTGGTCTGGGGGGAGGGGTTTCCGCAGATTCGACCCTCGGTGGCACCCAGGGCGTGTCTGTGCACGGGGACCCCGCCACACAGGCATAGGCATCGAAGGGGTGGAGGCCCGCGCACAGAGCCGTGCCCCACGGTGCCCTGGTCCCACGCATGCTGACGCCCACAGGGACTCTGTTTCCCAGCTCCCAGCTCCTGGGGACCACGACTCCCGCAGCTGTCCCCCAGAGTCACCCAGCCCAACTTGGGGTGGCCCCAGGCAGCCCCAGCATCACTGCAGGTCTGTGCTGCCACCTGGTGGCCATTTGGAGAAACAGAGCTGGACCCGGCCCAGGAGAGTGGGGGGCTGTGGTTTGGCTGCAGAGGCCCGGAGACTTCAGGGAAGGATGTGGGAAGCCCCGGGAAGGAGTCTGGGGGACCATGACACCCAAATGCCACCATCAGGGGATACCCCAGGGCCTGTACTCTTAGGCACTTTTGTGCAAGCTCTGATGCCCCAAATCCAGGACAGCTATGTGGACCTAGCCCGCTGTCCAGACTATAAAACCGTCCCCTCCCAGGGTGGCCAAAGAGCTGAAGGAGTTGCTCAAGGATTCAGAGAGCTCAGAGACCTGGGATGCATTAACTGAGGCACAAGCATTCACAGCAGGGAGGGGACAGGCACCTGCCAAGCTTAGCCCCCTCGGCTCCTGAGGCCCTCCCAGGCCCCTGCCCATGGACACCCACACCCAGAGGGGCCTGGGAGTCATTGGAGGGCACAGGTGAGTCACCCTAGAGAAGGAGATATTGGGAAGGGTGCAGGGCCACTATCTCCTCTGTGTGGACCTGGCCTCAAGCAGGGATCAGGAATGGGTTTGTCACACGGGGATCCAGAGGTCAAGATGTGGCTTTTCACCCCAGTTGACAGATGGAGAAACTGAGGCCAGAGAAGCATCGTGGTCGTTCCCAGGCCCCGGGTGTTCCAGGGAACCGTGCCTGCCCCAAGGTCTCAGAACAGCGCCAGGAGGGAGCCTTGGCCTTCTGTCCCCTCCTCTCCACTTTGTCCCTTTCCACGTCTCCACCACAGCCCAGGGGACCCCTTCACCCCTGTCCCCCTGTCCCACTAAGAATCTCCAGGACCAACAGCAGCTCAGGTGGGAACGAGTGAGGGGGATGCCACTGTGGTTCCAGATCCCCCCACAAGGTGGCGCCCAGAGCTCTCCTGTGCCTTTGGTTCCATTGGCCAGATCCCCGCCTGATGGATAAGGGTGGCCTGAGGCTGCCCTTTCTGGATCCCGGCCCAGTGCGGTGGCACCCAGGGGTGAGCCTACGGCCTGGGTCTTATCCAGGCCCCTCTGCAGGTTCAACCTGAGGGTCAGCAGCCTGCTCCCCTCTGACCCCCAGCTTCTCATCTGTAAGACGGGCTGGGGACACCTGCCTTCCTGGGCAGGTGGGACTCSACAGGCCAGGCCCGAGTCTGGCCAGCTGGACATCATCTCTAGTGGCCCTGAGGCTCCCCCGTGACTCAGCTCTCTTCGCCAGGAGCAGGGGACCATGCCCCAGTACTGTCTTTGGCAGGAATGAAGGGTGTCCTGGGGTCCTGGTCCTGCTCTCCTCTCAGCCACAAAGGGTCCTCCCCTCCTCCCTCACCTCGTCCCCTGCCCCTCCCCGTCCCCGCTCACCTTGGCTGCAGGGGGCGCCCAGGGACCCTGGGGCTGAAGGACGATCAGATCAGGCCCAGAGCAGGTGTGTGGCAGCTGGGCCCGGTAGCGGTGCAGAAGCGTGTTCAGGACGCTGGACTCGTTGACGCTGACCAGAGAGGCCAGGTCCTCGGCCTGGTCCAGCTCGGGGGGGTTAGCCTGCAAGCCGGCACGAGGGCTGGTCTCCTGGGCCTCCGGGGACCCGGCCACAGCAGCACCCACACACACGCGCGCACACACACACACACACACACACACACAGTGGGCCTGTCCTTGGGAGCCACGTGCCAAGGCCTGACCAGAACTCAGGACACAAGGATGATGGAGAGACAGTGGCACAATAGGGCCACCCCTGCTACAGGACACATAGAGTCATACAAGGTCTGTCTTTCCCACACTCTGCTCTGGGAGAGCAGATGCTCCCAGAGACCCCGCAAAGCTCAGAGCACATTTGGTATCCAGAGAGGCTACTGCTCTTTCCTCCTTTTCTAGATCTTACTGGACACCTCTGGGTGTCTCTGTGGCGCCCAGGGAAGGAGATCCATGGCCAAACACCTCCTTTACCTGATAGGCCATGGTTCCTTGATCCCTTGCAGATACACCCACATCCCTAGAAGAAATATTGATGCCCAATATAGATAGGCCAAGGAACCTAGGCTACAGTTCAAATTTAACTGAGCTCCCTGGCAGCCAGAGTRCAAAAGGAAAGAGGCTCTGCAGCATGGCTTGCCAAGTCCATAAAATGAAAAGCAACCTGTTTCTTGGGTCAGTCAGAACTCTCAGTGCCAAGGCCTGACAGAGGTGCTTCTTGAAGTTTTCTCATAAAGGGGACACCAGGGGACAGAGTCACTCACCCCGTGCGCTCTAGTCCCAGCAGCAGACCAGTGTGTTCCGTAGGGGCCATCCTACAGCTTTCTCAGGGACTCAAGCCAAAGTGGCGTCTACAAGGACATCTGCTGCAGGGACGGGGGTGAGGGTGCAGAGCAGGCCAGGAGGGGACAGGAGACTCACCCTGTGCACATGCTCCTCATCCACCTCYGTGACGGTTTGGTCAGCGTCGAGGCAAAGTCGTACCCTTCCCGCGGGCAGGTCGGCTGTTCCCTCGTCTGGCTTTAGCACCGTGGCTGGTGKAGAGCCCAGAGGGAGGACAGGAGGGACAGGAAGGGGAGGACACGAGGGGGAGGGAGGGGAGGAGAGCATGCGTGAGCCAGGCCAGCTGCAGCGTGGCTCAGGCCAGGCCAGGAAGGGCGACCTGCTCTCCCCTCGGGTCTGTCCGCATGGAGGGCACTGAACTGTGACCCCAAGCCCTCTAAAGACAGGGGCTGAGGCTGACTTGCAGCAGTGCCAGGAACAGAGCAGGCACCCCGAGGGTTGGGTGAACTGGACATCTCACCCCTAGACCYGGGATGGCAGAGACCGGAACTTCCCCTGGGGGTTCCCTGGCAGACATKGCTAATCAATCACTGTCCCCGGCCCGTCCTGACAGCAACTCGGAACCACTTCTTAGTAGAGCACCATCATGGGCCACAGCTCATCTCTGCCAGCTGCTCCTAGACCCTCAGTTCCTGTGGGACACCATAGGAACCAGCCCGATTTGTGGCATTAAACCCATTAATTAATTATCAAGGCTCCGATGTCTTTGATAACAGCACTCAGCAGGCCAGCTCCCCAGGGTGAGGTGACCATCGGCTATTCCCACTGCCTCAAAGGCCATGTGTGCCCTTGCCAGCCTCTGCTGCACCCTAAGGATAACCAGGGCCTCCACAGTGACAACCACCAGCAGCAAAGGGCACAAGAAGAGAGGACTAGAGCCCCCTCCCCCCGCCCCCCGCACCGACACCCCTCATTACCAAGAGTAAATCCGTCCTTCTGAACCAGCCAGACTTTCTCTGCTTGGTACCATCTGTCCTCAGGAGCCTGGGAGCAAAAGATCACACCAGTTAAATCCACAAAGTGACAGCAGTCCTGCCTCCGAAGCCTAGACACCCGTCAGGGACAGTTGCCCACAGTGTGGTCTGAGACCATGAAGGGAATCAGAATCACCATGCAGACGCCGGGGCCCTGGCCTTGGCCTTTTGAACAACGGGAACCCCCAAGACGCTGTCAGACTTGCTGGGTGACAGGTGAGTAAACCCAGCCCTGCCCGGAGGGAGGGAGATTTGCAGATTGAGAACCTTCTCTCCCAGCGCAGAATTCCAGCCCGGGGAACCTCAAGACCCTTGCCAGCCAAGAAGTGCCACCCCTCCTCTGGGTGCCCCAGGACTCCCACCCTCCCCGGTTCCCTGTGCTGTCCCCTGTCCACCTCCGCACTCCCCCAGGGCAGCTTCTTCCCGCCGCCTCCCACCCGGGGTGCGCCCCAGCACCTGGTCTGAGTCTGCGCTCTGGCCTCCTCTGCTGTCCTCCTGCAGGGCTGTTCCCTCCTCAGGCTGTGTCTGCCCGACCCCCGGGGTCTCCGCAGGCCCTGAGCTTCCGTCCAGCTGCCGCAGCCCAGGCCTGTCCTCGTCCTGGGCTCCTGTGGCGCAGGGCTCCTGCGCTCTGCCTTGCGGTGCGACCTCCTTTCCGGCTGCCGCCAGCGACGGCCCCGCTGCAGCCACCTCCTCTGGGGCTCCGCCTGCCCCCCGGGCCTCCTCCGGCCTGGCGCAGGGCTCACCTGTCCGCCCAGGTGCGCCTGCCGCCTCCGGCTCCACGGGGGCACCCCCTGGCGGCCGCAGGCTGCCCTGCGCTGTGCCTCCTTCCGGCTCCTYGCTGCCGGCCCTGAGGTCACCTCCTTTGTCCTTCTTGCTCTGGGGACCACCCCACTTACTCTTTCTGCCCAGGGAACCGCCCCATTTTCTCACTTGGACTCGAGGCCCAGAGGGCTTCCCTTCAGTCTCCACGTCCGTGGGCAGACCCCCCTTCTCGTTCTTGCTTGGGGGATCCCCTCCCTCCTTCTCCACCGCCCCTGGCTGCCCCCCATCACCTGCCCCTTGGGTTTGGGGCCTGGTCCTCTGCTCCTCTTTGCCCTGGGGCTCACCCCCTTTCAGCCCTTTGGTCTGGGGTCCCCTGCCCCCCTTCTCGCCTTCTGATCCTTGGCCTGGGTCCCCAAGACCCCCAGTCCGGATSTTCTCAGGCTTCAAAGCCAAGTCCTCAGTGGGGACCTGGGACCCAGAGGGACTCCCTGGGGTCTCCCCTGGCTTTTCGCCCCCGGGGTCTGTGACTGCGGGTGGTGTCTTGCAAGCGGGGGGATCACGGGGCTGGGTCCTCTGCTCTRGCTGGGCCGCTCCCGGGTCCAGCCTGGCCACCATCAGCAGCACGTCGCCCCCCAGCACACCCCTCCTGAAGGGCAGGCTCTTCTTGGCCGGGGTCGCCGTGGGGCCCGGCTCCTGGGGCTTCTCGCCATTGATGCTGGTCATCAGTGCAGGGGCAGTGCCGCAGGCCCCCTGGCTCTCCTTGCCCGGAATGCTTGTGCCCTGGGGAGGGGCAGACTGGCTGTCCTGGGGAATCTGTTGGCTTCCAGATTTCGTGCCCCTGTTGGTCTTGCTGTTTGGTGGACTGGTGGAAACTTCTGGGGTCTAGGAAGAGACCACCACCATGCTTAGCTGCTCACTGACCCTCCTCTGGGTGCTTCCSGACTCCCACCCTTCCCAAAGTTTGTCTGTCCTTTACACCTTCATCCACCCACTCATCCCCCCTGAGCTTCTCATGCACCTCCAAGGCCCAAGGGGCACCATGACAGGCAGTGAGGCTTGGCCCACAGCCTCAAGGCCAAGAGACAGAGTGGGAGGAGAGAGGATCCCAACAGAACCAAGTTCAGCCCCAGGCTCTGCCTCTCCCTAGCTRTGAAGCCTTGGGTAAATTGCTTCCCTTCTCTGAACTTGTTGACTTTTCAACAAACCAAGGATCTTAAAGGCCTGCCTTGCAGGGCAGGTGGGACAATTTGTGATAACACACAGAAACTGAGCCCAGCACATAGTATGTCTTCAGTGACTATAGCAGGCACCTCTGCGGCTATTGTTATTGGTATTGTTATTTATGCCTTGGTGCTTCCTGCTGGGCCAGAAGGGGTCAGGGAAAGGACTCGGGTCCTGTCATTAAGGATCTGTTCTCATTCCTGGCTCCAATATTCTCCTGCTGGGTGACCACAGATGGCACCATGGGTTCTCACTGAGCCCTGCCTCTGCACACGGAGACCTGGGGGCTGCTCCACCCTTGTGTCTATACCACAGTCTTGCAGATGCCTGAGCCTGGGCACGGGGGCTGTCACCCTCCCCTGGCCTGCACACGTGCTGGGATCCTGCTGACCCCACCTCAGAGCCTCCCCTGGGTCTCCTTCCCCAGGCCCAGTCTCTCTCATGGGCCACTGCCCAGCCTCTGATCTGAGCTCTCTTCTATTGGCCACCAATCATTTTAAACCTGATCAAAAGATTTTGACAGCTGCCCACAGCCTACAGGAGAATCGTCCAAACCGTGATCAGACATCCAATGATCCTCRGTGAGATGCCCCCAACTGTCCCTGTCCAAGCTTTGGCTGCTCTGGGCACCTCTAACCAACCCAGTGGCTTCCCTGCCTCCACATGTGCCCATGCTGCACTCAGGCCCCGCAGCTCTGCTCCTCTCCACTGTGGCCCCAGCCTTGAGCTTTTATACCCAGCTCAAATGTCACCCCTGGGGAAATCTATTGCCTGAAGCCCTCAACTCGAAGTTGTCTCACACATCCACAAAGTCCCAGAGCCTGTCACAGTAGTGCCCACGTTCTGCACCCCATTTTAGTTTATCCATGTGTCTTTCCTGTTTTCGAGGTCCATGCTGCCAAAGCACAGACTCCATCTTTGTGTGGTGATAATAACAGGATTAGGAGCAGCATGTGCAGCCCTTTCATCACAGGCCCTCCATCGCCATGACCCAATGTCCTACTGAATCCCCATAAGGACCCACTGACAGGTTCTGCACTTTGCCCCATTATACAGACAAAGATGCAGACATGAAGATATCCAGTGGCCCCAGATGCAGAGTGGCATTRTAAACCCAGGTCTCCAGACTCCAACTCCACACACACATTACCTTCCTTGTTTTGTTCTAAGGCTCTTGGGAATCTCCTTGGGAGCTTTAGGAAATGCACATGATTTGTCCCCAAGCCCACAAACCCCAAGGTTGCCTGTGAGGGTTTTGGCTCCCAGGATGATCCCAATGTGTAACCAGAGCCAAGGGCCATATCTCTGGTWCGGAGTGGCTCCGCCTGACCTTCCGGGGCCAGCAGGACATCAGCTCCGAATGGGGGCTGGCTGCACTTGGCAGGCCACACCACTGTCTGCACTGTTTTTGAAAAGTGAATCATTGCCTTATTCTTAACCAGCTGCTACGGGTGACCATGGACAGGGACATGGAGATGTGCCAAACGGGAGAGCCAGCCCTGGCTGTGCCCCCTGCACACACACACACACACATGGGAATTCTCCTCCTTAGGATTTTATAGTCACGAAAGCTCCGAGTCCCCTGCACCCCACTTAGCATTTGAAGGAAACAGCACCTCTGCCGTYGCTGGCCAGGGGGAACATCACAACACATCTATTTTATAGACGAGGAAACCGAGGCCAGAGGATGGGAGGACTTTGGCCAGGACTTTATGACATGAAGGGGCAGGAGCCTGAACCCAGGTCTCCGTGACATGCCACCGAGGTCTGTCATTGTTCCAGGGATTCCTGGCCTGTCTTTGCCCCTCGCTGGTGGGTGACTGGAGGGGATCAGGTCACTTCTTCAAGCCTTGTTTTCCCTTCCTGCAAAGTGGGGATGGGTTCCAATGACCGACTCCCTGCAGGACTGTGTGAGGAGCAGGGGGACCGCTGGGCCAGGTCAGGGGGAGCAGATGCGGATCATTTACKGGTCGGGCAAAAAAAAAATCGAACTGGCCAGAGCCAGCCAGGGCTTGCAGCCTCGCTGGGACCTGTTCTCAAGGCCCCTGCTTGGCCATCTTGGCCCGTGGTGCCACCACCTGTCCTGGCCTGAGGCTGTCCATCTCCTGTCTTGGCTCTCAGTCTCCACCAGCCCAGCAGGGGCAACTAATCCCCTGTCTCAGCTCAGTTCTGTTCCTTTACTTGCTCCCAGGGACGCCACCAGGAATGTCACCAGGGCCTGTGGACTTTCAGGGCCCCACACTAGCCACCCCCTTCACCAGGCCAGCCTTTCCCCAGATGGCTCCTGAGAGCAGAGAACACAGACTCATGCCCTGCAAGTGACGTGAACTGCCCAGGCCTCAGTCTCCACCTCTGATAAATGGGTCTGATCCCATCCACCCCACTGCTGCGTGGGGTCCCTGCTGCACCCGTGAGCAGCCAAGTGAGCCTCATTTCATGACAAACAGCACACAGTGACTCTTATCATGATCTCGCAACTGCCCTGCCTTAYGTCAGGCAGGGGTGGGGACAGAGCCTCTCCTCCCTGCTATGCTCCCCCACAAAGTCTTGACGGGGGCGTCTCCACAGCTGCTGCTGTTCAGGATGTCTCTGACACCGCAAAGCCACGGTGAGTGACAGGCCTGGTCAGCCAAACAGGCTGGAGCAGAGTGGGAGGCGGAGCCCCGATGGCCCGGGACTGCCCGACCTGATCACCGCAGCATTCGCCTTGGCCTCAAGGGGGCGCTGGAGAGACGCCCTGCCCCCAAGGSGGCCTTTGAGCTACACGGGGTTCCACGGTGGCTTCACCCCAGCACCTGCTCAGAACAACTAAAGGACTGAGCGGACGGCAGCCGATAACAACGGACGCCCGCCAGGGCAGGGTCCTAAGTCCTAACGTGGCCACGCACTGACCCCTTAATTATTCGGTGGTGGCTATTTCCAGGAACTTGGGGGAGGATGGCAGCCACAGGACACTGCGGGCCTTGGGGTCATGCGCACTTGCTACCCTATTTTAACACCCACACAGCCAGACCTGCGAGCACCAACCGAATTCTCTTTTCTGCTGACACTAAACCCACTGTGCATCTTAGTCCGTGTCTAGTTCCTCCTATTTGCAAAAGTCAGAATAAAATAATCCCCCCCCCCATCATAGATCAACCGACCACTCATCCGTTCCTTCATTCATTCAACAACCATTTGTTGAATAATCGCTAGGAGACATGTTCCAGATAAGTCACCAGATCCCACCATGGCCGTGGTTTCCATAATAAACCAGACACAGGGAACAGTGGAAATCAGAGCAAGGAGGGCGATAGAAGGTCCAGATGCACCAACTGAGATGGGTTGTGCAGGCTGCAGAGGAGCTCGACCCACCAAGTTCAAGAAAAGACGTTCCTCAAAGTGCRGGGCGGCCAGAGCAAAGGCAGACGGGCAAGTGACTCAGCCGACGACCAGAGGGTGGGTGTGTAGGCACGGCCTCTGTGCCCCCCAAGGCCACTTACCTCTCGCTCTGGGGAGGCCAGCGCCGCCTGCTTCCTCCGCCTGGCTTCCTTGGACTCTTTCTCCGTCTCGCGGACCAGTTGCCTGATGAAGCCCCCCGGGATGACGGAGAAGAGGGGAGGGGGCGAGGACGGCGGAGGACTCTTGTCCTCTTCCCGGATCTGTGTGGCAGAAGCAGGGAAGGAAGACCCAGTGAGCCCACCGGCAGGCTGAGGTCGCCAGGGCGCCTGGGCCGGCGAGGAGGAGAAGTGCCACCAAGCGCAAGAGCGAGGGGACGGGCAAAGTAGGTGGCACTCCGYGGGAGCTGGGGGACACGGAGCAGCAGAACCAGTCAGTGGGTCTCCTCCTGGCTCCCGTGGCCCTGAGACATGACTCTGGGCCACAGACCTCAGGTTCCCTTCCTTGGCTGGGGACAGACCCTTCCCTGGGAGGACCACGCAGAAAGGAGCTTCTAGGGATTCCTGAGGGGATGGGTCCCAAGGATGCACCCGGGCTCTCCTGCCCACCGCTTGGAGTTAATATAGTACTTGCTCACTTAGTAATCACTCCCTGTGTGCTGGGAACAGGGCAGCGTGGGGAGGCCCGGCTGCCTGGGTGTACACAGTCAGCCCCTGTGTCCTTGGATCCTGCATCCCATTCCTAGACGGGACCCACCGTGGGTGGAAAGTGTTCAAGGAAAACCATGGGGTAAACCCCTGCAGGCTACGACTCACCAACGACTTAACAGCTACTGGGGGAGTGGGGTACCAGGGAGTGAACTCAGGCGCATAATCACTGAGTACATTCCCAGCCCCTTTTTATTTTTAATTTTGAGATAGTCTTACTGAGTTGTTTAGGGCTTTTCTAAATTGCTGAAGCTGGCCTTGAACTTGAGATCCTCCTGCCTCAGCCTCCCCAACCSGTAGGATAACAGGCGTGGGCAGCTGCACCCAGCAATATAACAACGTCTGCATTAACTATGCAGGACGTTATCTGCAAATATGACACCGTTTTATATAAGGGACCGGATTATCTGCAGACTTTGTTGACTGCAAGGGTCCTGTACCTAGTTCCTGTGGACTCTCAGGAGCCCCTGTGCAGGAACCAACCCCGTGGCTGCAGCCCTCTGCACTGACCTCTCTGTCTGCTTGGTGGTCCTTAAACCAGGACCCAGACAGCCAGGGACTCCCCAGCACTGGATCCTAAAATGGGTCACCTGGACACCAGCAATTTTGCCCTAGAAATGGAGCCAGACCAGAGCCGGCTGGACGTGCTTGTAGCTGAGATTCCCTACTGGCCACAGTGACCTTRGGGGCTGAGACCTGGAACTCGCTGTGGCCAGCTGGGGTGTGTCTTTACCCTCTTCACTGTCACTCCCACAAGAAAGAAAAAATCAGCAGCGCTTTCTACGGAAGAGCCACAGGCTGGCCTAAAATAAACTCGTCATCGAGGTCCTCTGTGCCCGCCTGGTGGYGCGGGGCTCTGCAGCCCAGCTGATAAGGGGATCCAAAGGGGTAGGAGACAAAGAGGCAAAGCAGAGCCTGGGGACACGGTGGTGGTGACCCCAGAACGAGGGCAGACAAGCTGGGGTCCCACCCACCCCACTCTTCTCTGTCCCTCCGGATGCAACCAGGACCCACTCGATGCGCGGAGGTGAGCCCAATCCTAGCGTCCACCTCTGCTGTCCCCCACTCGCTCCTAGAACTATGCCCAGGTCAGACTGTGGGGCAGGGGACAGCCAGCAGGCAGCCAGAGGAAGCCTCTGCCCCACCTGCCGTCTGCCCCCAGTGGACAGATCCCAAGCGCGGGAGGGCCCTTCCTGAGACCTGGGAAGCAGCTACAGGGAAGAAAGAACCAACTGGAAGGGGGTCGTGTCCTGTTCTCCATGGTGACGAGGCGGGGGCCACGGTCTGTCTCTGCCCCCGACACCCCGCTCCTCCACTCCCCTCCCCCAGGGCTCATCAGGACACAAGGGAGTGAGGTGGACAGCTGGTCACCCTGGCTGCCCGGCCTCCCCCAAGGAACAGGGTGGACAGGCAGCCGGGGGAGGAGCCAAGGGCAGGGCCCAATGCCCCGCTGGGTCAGGAAGGCCTTGGCTAAGCAAGCTGGCTGGGCGGTGATGGGAAGCAGGATGACAGGTCACAGGCAGAACTGGATGTGACCCCCCACCCGAGGAGGGAAGGGCTGGCTTGGGCCACTCAGATTTGTCCTCCAGGACTAGAGTTGGCCCCTGAAGCCCCAGTCCCAGCCCCAGGCACCACTTTCCTTCTGCTCCCACAAGGCGAGGCGTGATGAGATGGCCATGCTGAGGCAGCCCTGCTGGGGTGGTGAGGCGATGAGCTGGTGAGCCGAGATGGCGCTCCCGCCAGACAGCACGGAATGAGGCTCTAGGGACACACGTAGCACATGAGATGGGTGGACACAGGCCTGGCACAGAGACACAGCGGGAGAGAAGAGAGAGATGGTTAGACCTGGGCACAGTCCCATCCCACTGCCACCAATGCCATAAATCATGACCAGATGGGGATGGGACAAGCAGGGACAGCTACTGCCCTTCACTCCTGCCAGGAGTATTGTCAGCAAGGAGGCCACTGGCCATGGAGTGCACAGCACCCCGCACCCTCTTCCTCTCGGCTCCACACTTGAACTTTACACAGTCAGGAAAAATACACAATTCTCCACAGGAATCTCAGCAGCTTTTGAGAGAAGACCTGCAGGACTGAGTCCCCTCTGAATGTTTCCAAKGACAATTTTATTGATAAAACTTCAGGAGCCGGGCTCCAGGGGACTTTCCAGGTGCTGGAAGTCTGAGTAATGATTTCTGAATCACCTCATAGGTGAAGCTCATGTCACCCTGCCACCAAGATTGGCCCCGTAGGCTGAGGACTGGGTTCAGTGGAACAGCCCTTGCCTAACCTGAGTGAGGCCCTGGGTCTGGTCCCAGCCACACA